TTGAAAAGACTATGATAATACTTGAGAATCAAGAAACACATATGTTGATGCAATATTATTCGAACCTTTTGAAGAAATTCATAATTCTGTTTTGCTTCTTTTGTGTCACTAGGCTTTTCAGCAAGAGGAGTCGTTGAGTAAGAGAAGCCAGTCCCAACAGGTTGATCCAAAAATATTATGCTAGCTTCCTGAAATATCATCCAAATCAACAATCTCGAAACTGATAAAACCGGAAAAAAAAAGTAGAACAACACAAGCTTAACTATAGTTTGTGATGGTCAATAACCTTTGTCCAAGAATATGAAGTGGAGACAAGAGAAGGCAAACCTCCATTTTAACCCTCATTCTTGAAAGTCAAAGGCCCTGCAAGTGAAAACAAGAATATATTTAGAGAATAAACTAAAGACCAAATCTTTTTCAGGGTTTCTTGACAATACCGATTTCGAAAGCAAGAGCAGAGAGAGAAGTGCAAGCAGGTCCTCCAGTTAACCAAATCAGAAGAGGATCTTCTTCAGGATTGCTTTCAGATTTGATGAAGTAGTAGAAAAGCTGCACTTTCTCTTCCTCACCAACACCAATGTAGCTTTTCATAAGAAGATTTATTAGACTCATTTGGGTTTGTGTTATTTGTAGTAATGAATATTGAAAAAACAGAGCAAGAAGAAGAGGAAACAGACCCAGTTTCAAGGTGGAAAGGAAGAGGACCCTCGAAACCAGGAAGATAGCTAATCACAGAGGCTGATTCAACACTATGTTGAGTCCAAAGGAATATAGTTGAAGCATAAGAAGAAGCAACTTCAGTTTCCATGCTATACGCATTCTTGATTTCTTTTCTCTTTTCAGGCAACAAAACAAAACAGACATAGAAAGGATAGTTGACAAAACAACTAAACCGATCAAGTGGAATTAGTGTTGTTTGGCTTCGATTCTCTTTTATAGCATTTCTTCTTCGTGTGTTTTCTTTCGACTTTTACTTTCTCTCTAATCAAAAGTTGACCTTTCTAATTGATTTGTTCATGTTGCATCAGATCCACGAGGATTACTTAATTATGTTAACAATAATCTATTATAACAATAATCTATTTGTTATAAATCATAGTGGATTGTCATAACCAGTTCTGGT